TAAAAATCCGGTGTGGAATGCCAGGGGCAGAAGCAGACGGAGGGATTGATTTCTGCTGTACAACAGGGAAAGCTTGTGCATCCTGTAAGCAAGCCTCCAGTTTTTGAATAAGATCATCCAAAACATCCAATTTTGGATCGTCAGGGGTCTTAGGTAATGGTGGGTATGATTTAGATTGAATAAGACATTTCTCTTCTAATTCAGGTTTTGGAATCTCAGTTTCATCATCAGAAAAATCAGAATGATCATCAGACTCTGAATTGGGCATGGGAGGTGCAGAAGGCTCAGGAGGAGTCTCATATATATGTGAAGAAAAAATTTTCTTTTGTGGCTTTTCTGAATCAGATTGTGGATGCTGATTGCTATCATCTGAATCAGACTGAAAAGGTTGCAAGGCTAAAGCCACCATGTTAAAAGCTGTCCATTCCTCTGCCGATATAACTTCTCCAGCCTGATGAGCTCTCCTTAAAGCTTTACCGACCTGCCTTCAAATTTTTAAATCAAATTGGTTCTTATTGTCTGAAGTAAACCAATAGCAATGTTTCTATATCTTTTGTAATAATGAAAGTAAAACTTTCTCTTTAATTTTTAATCCTGAAGCAGTCAACAATGATTTCAGTACTGCCATATAATCACTTAACACTGACAGGGAATTCCCCATTATGCCCCGACTCTAAATTTCCGGAAGACATGGCGTAACTATTCGCCGTCAGTAAAAAACCTCCTCGGCCCCACCCGTTCCCATGTCTTACCTTTCATGCCCCTCATTTGGGCGCCAGAAGTTGATTAAAATGATCAGAGATGCGAAGGAAGACACAGCAGACGAGATGCAGGTGAAGAACAGGGGCCACGGCTCTCTCAGGCGAGTAGCGCCGACCCAGCCGCTGTGACAGCTTTTATTACATTTAGCAAGCTAGTGCATGCGAGATAAGCATTAATGCATAAATTCTCTTACACTTTTCTCAAGAGCAGAAGGCCGTTACCTCCCTTCTCAAGCACTTGGTTATCTATAATGCACCTCCTGGGAACATCCCAAGAAAGTGTTCTCACAACTTCAAGCGTTCTCAAGGATTGTTTGCAATCCTTGACATTTCTTGGTTAACTCGTTTGTGAGTTCACCAAGTGAACACGTCCTTGGGTGCTGACCACAGAAGTCCATTAACCGTTTCCTTCACAATTGGGTACAAATGAAGAAAGTAAGAGAATCTTAATTTTCTTTACTTAAAAATATACAAAATGTGCCCATTTATTTCCTGGAGATATCACAATGACAGAAAGAGTGTACTTCCCAAAGAAAAGTAATTACTACTTATAACCATAAGACTAATTGTTACATGCCCAGAAAAAACTAATGAGTTTATAAAGTCTGGATGTCTCAATGCCAGTGGGGATGTTCAAAGCAAATTAAACTAGCAGGGATGTTTTTATATTAACTGATGTACAGAACATAAAGGGGCATTCACTCCAACTTGGGTTAAGATTCATTATTTTTAATATCTTTAAGGAAACTGGCCAGCAAATATCCCCAGGCTTTGATCTTTATAAGACACAAATTGTGGCATATTTCAGAGGCCCTCTACTAACCTAGATCTTCATTAACAAATGTAGTGTCTGGCATTACCATGATTTTTATTAGCTAAGGCTAGCTCGAAGAATAGGAGATGTGATGGAGACTTACTAGTTGAGGCAATTAGCAGAACTTAAAATATGTGGCCAATTTACTGGAAAGTGAGCAGTGGGTATCAAGAATGCAGATATCACAGCCTGTAAGCTGGTACCTCTAATTATATGTTAGCAAAATATTTGGTCAAATGGTTCCTTGCTATAGCTTGGGAGACAGACTATGTGCTGCCAAAATAGAGGCACAGGTAGAAAAGATTCAGGGTATTGGAATATCACTATTGCACTGGCAACTTCTTGCTGCTTTCTGCAAAACTTACAAGAGGGAGGGAATCAGGCTGGAGCCAGCCAAGCTCCAAGTAGAGACAGAAGGTGGGAAAGGAGGCCCTTTCTGACTGCAGCCTCACTCTGAGTTGACTTAGAGTTGCCACTTCTATACCCCCAAATAAAGCAGTCGTTAAGTAGTGGCTGTGACATAGAAGTCTAGGCTTAGTAGGAGATAATGCTGCTGCTAAGAAAGTTTGTGAAACTGCTGGTAAAGAAGGGATTAAGGATCCATGCCACCCAAATCCATTGTTTAACATGGCCTGAAAGTAGCCATTGTTAAATTAAGGGAGGGGGATGGGATGGGCAGAGCAGAGAGGCCAAGCTACAAAATACCAGAGTTTCCAGGGTTAAAACTATATCTAGATAAGATACTGGGGGTGTGGTTATTTGTACATGGAGAAGTCAAGAAGCAAATGCACCAGAAGTCTACTAAGTTTTTGAGGAATTTGTATTGCTAAAGGAAATTTAAGCCTGGCCTATAGCAAAAGCATGTGACCCTTAATCCTCAAAATAACCTCTCCAAACCTAAACAAGTGGGAAATGCATAGTGGCCACGGAGGATAATGGACAAAGAAGAAGCTCTCAGAGCCACAGGACCCAAAATATGTGGACAAAAGACTAAGCTTCCACCCCCATCTCTTTTTGCTTATAGCTTGCAACTCAGCTTTAATTAACCACGCAGGTGAGAACGACTGGGTTCTGAATGACTACAGGAACACAGTTGCCAGCCAACTTGGACTAGTCACTTCAGAGTTTTCATAGGAGAGAGACATTAATTCTATTTTCATTTAAACCATACTGGATTATGACTGGGTCTCTTTTTTTTTTACAGCAGCCAAGCTAGATTAACAAAATGTCCCAAACTGAGATATTTATCCTTCCCCATCAAACCTGCTCCTCTGGTGGACTGGAGTAAATGGTAATTCCATCCTTTCAATTGCTTAGGCCAAAGTCCTTGGAGACATCCCGTGTTCTAGCCGCTACAGGGCGCACATGTCAACTAGACCTTGCATTTGTGATTTAGCATGGGGCTTATCAGAATTCCAGGCTGCACATGCATGGAGTGGGCCTGGGTGTTTGTCCTAAAAATGTTGATATCCTTCAACCAAAGACCACCAGGAACATACCTGTAGCTGAACAAGTTGGGGTTACCATTATAGCTACAAAGAGCTCTCAGCATGGGAAACTCCAGGGCTTCTCAGTAGGAGAGTGGTAGAAAAAACCTATTACAGAATTTTGGGAGGTTCTAAGGAAGCTCTAGATTGGGGTGCTGTTAGAAAGTGGGTGCAATTCTATTATTGTATATCTCAATAAATATTGTCTATAGGGAATGGAGACAAGTATGAAAATAGAGGTGTAATTGATAAAGAAGCAGCTGTCGCTCATTTTAGCCAAGAGAATGCTTGTGGACTGCACAGAGATCTTGTTTTCATGGTCTCAGAGTGACTTTGTCTAATGTTGATGTTTTATGAGGTTGTTAATGTCCAACAGAAAAATCCGGCTTAGATGTGAGAGTCCAGGATATCCGGGATTGCCTTTTTTCTTTCTCAAATAGGTGACGGTGCCTTGTTTGAGCCATAGACAGTCCCCTTCTTTCTGTGACTCCAGGTGAGGGAGAGTTGTCCTCAAATTCATTCTGGCTCAGCCCTTGCTCCTCAGAGTGTGCATCTATGGCCTGCACCCCTGCCTGGCCATTGTGACACTTGCCTCCAACCCTGCATGGGTGACTCAGATCTGTCCTCAGAAACCAGAGAATGGCACTGATCTAGTCCATTTACCCTCATCATTCCCATTTTTATTAATTTTTTCTTTTTTTAGTAAGGGATTGCTCTCTTTCTGAACTACAGACATTTCCTTTGCACAAAATGTTTGGAGTTGAAGGGGAAGATTTCAGTGTCAGCTCAAGCTGTCATCTTGACCGGGGAATAATCAAGGGTTTTATTGTGCCTCCTCTGGGCTTTAGTTTCCTGACTTGTGACACTACCCAGTCATCTCTCATTATCAACGTGGCCTTTGATTGTGATTGTTATTAATTTTCTAAGCATTCTCAAGGATATGCTAGGTCATGCGTTTCTGGGCATCAGCTGTTCTGTCCCTTAAATGCCAACGTTTAAAAATGAGAGATTCCAGCATAACTTGTTGGCTTTCCACATAGCCTTTTTCCATATTTCAGCAAACCGGACCAAGTACTTGATTCAGAAGTCATAAGCCTGAAGCTAATTTAGTTGTCTTATCTGGGGGCAGGGCAAGATATGGGGAGCCTCAAATACTTAGAAAGTCTTCTCTCATTAACCCTCATGCCCATAATGCCTGAGCCATTTTTTTTTTTTTTTTTGCATAACAATCCTCCACCCACTTCTTGCTGTGCCCCAACACCCATGTGCACATTTTTACACTGCTTTTTATCTCCTAGTGTTGGGAAAGGATCGTAAGTGGGGAAGGATCTTCAACTTCTCTCTCCCCCTAGTCCATTAGCTCCCAAGAGAAGAGGTTAAGTTAATAACATTTAGCCCCCTTGATGCCTCCTGACAGCACCAAGTACAGAATGCTGAAGATAGATATTGCTCACGTTTAATAGAATCTCATTTAATAGATTCACAACAGATAACAATGGTGGTTGAAGGAGGTTTTCCAAGAATGTGAAAGGACACTGAAACCATTTCATAGGATGGATATATGGTGAAGCTGGGATCTGGAGGCATGTCCTGAACCATGTCGAGCTGGTATCAGCCTCGGCAGCATCTCTATCTCAGTAGCCCCATTGAAAAGGAGAATTCTAGGATGGAGGAATTATGTGGCAAGCCTTATATTCTTATGGTATATATAACAGTCTTATTAGGTCACTAAGAAATAGGCAAATCAAAGGGCCGCACTCATGGAACTTGAAATAACAGACAGAGAATTACTGCAGAGGGGGGAGAATCCTGAAACTGAGAGAAGATTCTGAGAAGCTGGAGGAGGATTATGGGTGCAGGACCAAAGAAGTCTCCTCATTCACTCACTGTCAGTCCCACATCTCTTACAGACACGAAGAAAAATCACATGACTGCAAGGCTAGTCATTTATTGGCCATGTAAAGAAGGTCTTATTCATGCCACCCCCGGGTGTGGCAAAGAGAGTCAGAAATTCAGAGAAAACCTTTGATTCTTGGTCAATTGATGAGTCTTCCTAGGCAATTAGGGAAGATCCTGAAGATGCAGTGATCCTGTGGTGGAAATCAGTCACAGAACTTGTCACAGAAGACATGGGGACCAGAAAGGGAGGATGCTGGAGTCCAGGTGAGGAAGCATTTGCTCAGCACTAAATAAACAGAGGAGGAAGAGAACACAGAAACTGATTAAGCATTCCTTGGATCGAATTGAGGACAAAGAGAAGTTCTATTACAGAGAAAACTGGCCAAGAAACACATATCCTGCATTCTAACCTATGCATATGCTATAAGAATTGGGGAGGAAGGGTGTTGAGGATATGACGTTTTGCTTTTCTATTGCTGATGGCATCTCAACCTTTCCCTGACTCAGTCTATGACAAAGAGAAAGGAAGGAATGAAGGATCCTAGGCTTGTTTCTGCCATCTGCAGCATCAGAAGTTTTGGATAATTTTTGATAAACTGAGGAATAATGGCAAAAGCCACAGCTACCTTTTATTAAATGCTTGCTTTATGCAAGCCATAGTTGCTAAGATGTTCACACGCAATATCTGAATGAAGCCCTGTAATAAATCTGAGGTAGGAAACAGATGAGGAGACTCAGTCTATTTTCCAGGTTGTTTGATGGGAAGGCCAGACAGCTCCATTCCAGATTAGAAGACAAGGATGTGCAAAGATCAAAGGCAGACATTTTAATCATACATTGGAGGATGAAATGGTCTCATGGGCTTGGAAGACAGACTACAAATGCAGAAACATATTTGAGTTCCATTATCATGCCCTACTATTCTTTTTCTTTTCAGAATTAAGGTCTTAATGATTTTTAGCACATTATAAATTACTGAGACCTTTTCACCAGCATTACATTCACATAACAACTCTGTAAAATAGACATCGTTTCCTACTTAATTGCTTATGTCATATGCTTAGAAGTGCGTGGTAGGACTAGGTTCTGAATCCAGGTCCTCCAACTTCAAATTTCAAGCTGTTCCCACATGCTTGCTTACCAAATTATTTTTATTCTAATCCTTGGGCACAAACCCCCAGTTCTTTTGGAAGTAACTGGTCCCTGGGCCACCCCCCTCCACCGGGGTCAGAGATCACCCACCTGGGATCTTAGGGAGCCCCCCCATCTCGGGCTTGGAGGCAGCGATCTGTGGAGGCAGAACAGAGCACATTCAGACACCAACCCCAGTTTATTTCCCGGGGAGAAACCAGATGACTGTCCAGGTTAGGACAAAGGGGACTTATTCAGGGTATTCCTTCCTTCAGAGTTCTCCCTTCAGTAACATGGGAATTTAGGAAGAGAAAGCCAGAGAGCCAAACTTACTGACTTTGGTCAGGTCTAATACATTTTCTTTATCAATTCCATGTTCTTCACAAATTTGCACAAACTTTTCCTTGAGTTCTGGGCTCACATCTGGTTCTCGGCCTGTGGGAAGAGTGACAGTAACTCCTGTGTCTTGTGTATTTGTTGTGAAGGCAAATGAAGGGGTTCCAGACAGATGGGAAAATGGATGGCACCAACTTGGTGCTCAGGCAGGAGTCTTGCAGGTGGGACAAACCTGTCTTGAATCTGACACGAGTAGCATATCGTTCTGGCAAAGTGAGAGACTTTATAATCTTCCCATCACCAAGCCTAAGAGATTACCGAAGGTAAGCATTTGTCTTCAGAGGGGATAGGCAGTCCAGGATAAGACTGGGAAGACCACTTTGTATCTAGGGTTCCTTCCTTCCTCTCTCTCTGCCCCAAGATGAGCATCAGCATGAAAATACTCTACCATAGAGCTCCATCAGTTGGAATGTTTCATCATTGTTAAAATTCTCGAGATAAAAAATAATATGGTCATTATAGTCTGCCTCAAGTATGCGAAATGTATTGGGTCCATCATCTGTGGAGGAAACAGAACACAGCTCAGAATTGTGGTCCATGGGAAGTAATTGAAACCATTTACCTATTCTGTCCCACAAAACAAGTTCAAGTGCACATCCTGGAAAAGATAGAGTGAGGATGTCTAATGCCTTCCATTTGCATCTCCCTGGGCTTTATGAGGCAATTCTAAGAAAAGAGACACTGGTAGATTGACCACTAGTGGTAGAAAAATTTAGCCAGAGCAGCAACCTGCCCACCTCCCTCAGCATCTCTGTCAGTGCTGTGTCTCTTCTCCATAAGCCCCACTTGCATCACATGCCCGATGCTACATCTTGAGCAGTGTGCTATGTCAGAAAGATGCCAGGGAATGAGAAGCTGTCCTGCCAATTTACTTTTTTCCCCTACCAATTCACTTTTGTTGCAGGAGGTACATATGACCAAAGTTTCTTCTTTATCTGATGGTATTACATGCTAGGCATTGGCTTTTGCACACGAAGTTCTCCCAGATTCTGGATATTGGCTATTAGATGGCCCCCATTATATTATCTAAATAAGCATGAATCAGGAATTGACCAAGATCCTGAAGATATTGGGGTTTAGCAAATTCCTTGCAAAGACTTTTTTTTGTTTACTTACATTCAACACTATATACACCATTTTCTTCTGTTGGGTCACTAACCAAATAATTTTCAGTACATTCTCCATTTACACTGCAAAACAGAATGAATTAATGTCCAAGAGATATTCAGGAGACTGGCTCCCTCAACCTCTGCTCTACTTGTAAGTTGAGTTTCTGATTCCACTTAATGTTTGAACATTTTGTGTACAATCACCAAAGAGCTTTTATTTACCTTATTTTACTTGATTTGATACTTTAAGAACAGGTTAAACAACTACTTCCATCACTATTACTACTACCACTACTTCCCACTGTTACTATTCTACAACTGCTTGTCTAGATCATTAGCTGAGTATTCACCATGTGTCAGCCCTCACGTAAGTGCTTTACAAATGTTATCTGACTTGATCCTCACACATGCACAAAAAGTGCCATGAGGGAGAATTATTGTCATTCCCTTTTACCCATGGGAAAATGGAGGTGGAAAGAGATGAATTTTCTTGGTCACACACTAGTAAGAGATAGATTCAAATTCAGGCTGTTGATTCCAAATTCTATGCTCTTGATTTAGGCTATGTTGTCACATTATGTACGATTCTGATAGAATTCTATCCTCTACTTCCCCCACTCTCATTAAACTTATTCCTGTCACCAACTCTTGTCTTAAAATCTTGGAAAGTCTCAGGTCCATCAAGTATTGGATCAGTGCCACATGAGGGACTCTGACTTGAGATACAGGCTTAGCAGGTGTACCCATGCATGTGTGTGTGCTTGTGTTTGTGTGGCTGTATGTGTGTGTGTGTGTCTGTAGAGGTCCAAGACCATATCCAGGCTTCCATTTTTCCTTTACCAATGAAAAAAGGCTACACTTACATTGTATGATATTTAAAGAACAGAGAAGAGTTCTTTAAGTAATCGATGTATTCCACAAACAGCCTCATGCTTCCATTTTCTTCTATCTTTTCCCTGCGGTCAGAGGCCAAGCCAATGGAATACCACTCCCCTGAAATCTGCAATAAATAAGTAAAATGATTGGGTAAGAAAAAAAGAGAGGGGATACCACATGGCTACTCCTCTGCTTGAACTATGGCCTGTGGGTCATGACTAATAATTGTGATATGAAAAAGGAATTAGAACTCAGATCAATTGGCACCAGACCTTGGGCTCTTTCTACAGTCTCTGCAGTGAGAATGAAGGTCTCCAAGCATTGCCATCTTTTCATAGGGTACTATTGTTTTTAGTCCAAGGTCTGAAGCCACCCCTTTTGTCTAACATGTTAAGGAACTCCTGCCCTCCAGTAGGACCCACCTGGCTTCAGAATACTCCAATCCACCCTCCAAAGTCAGAAGTCACTACGCTCCACAACTCTACCTTTGATAGATCGAAGTTGCTTCGCACAACATCGTTGTTTTCTTCCTTGTCAGCACAGACGAGGGTCAGCCCCAGACACAGCAACAGCAGCTTCATCTTGGCAGGGGGTAGTAGTGTCTTCTCCACAGTTGCCAGGAATGAGTCTTTCTCTGACAGCAGCTCCACTCCCCAGCTCCTCTGTCTTTATATTCATTCTGGGTCCACTTTTTTATCCATGTGGCAACACCTTCCCCCTTCCCCCCGTGAAATGGCCTTTCATTCACTGGTGTAAGGCCAAGGATTGTTCCTGCCCTTTTAAAACTTGGCAATCCCATCTTCTTTAGATCAATTTAGTGACCTTAAATTTCTCAAAACATTCTCAAGCAAAATAGTAGATGCTCTAAAGGGCTGCCATTTGGAACCAGATTTAACTGTGGATCTGGCTTGGAATAAGCAAGCCAATTATGTGTGGCAGGAATGGGGCATAACTGGGAAATGGGATGTGTGTGAATTGCTGTTCCACAGCTCACATGGTAAGTGGAATTGGGTGAGTTACTCAATTTTTCCAAGCCTAGGGAAGAAAGAAACTCTACCAAAGATGTAGAACCTATCATAAAGTGTTAAAATAGGTTGAATAAAACAATGTCTTTAAAGTATGGTGTCTGGTATTCAGTGAATTTTAATTTCTTTTCCTTATTCTCTGAACCCAACCCAATTCCATTTCCTTATTCTCTGAGGCCTTCCCTCTCCCTACAATAAATGAAAAGTATTTAATCACTATGGGCCGATAAAAGAAAAGAAGTACAAGATATCACCTCTTCCTTCAAAGAACCATCAATGAAATTGGAGAAATGCTTCACAGACTCAGTAAAAAATTCTACAAGGATATGAAATGACCCAACCGAGTGGTACCAACTACAGACTATAGTAAAGAGGGTGATGCCAGGGCAGTGGTATCATGTAGAAAGTGCTTAAGAGCACAGGCTTGGAGTCATGCAGACCTGGGTTTCATTCCTATCTCTACCATTTTAAAGCCGTGAGGACAGATTTTAACCTTTCAGAGTCTTAGTTCCCTCTTACTGGGGATCACTATACCTGCATAATAGTTTGCTGCAGAGTTTCAGTGGGCTGAAGTGCATAAAGCCCACTGCGTGATGTCTGGCATATGTTGAGCTGGTAGGGTCAGAGTGCTTGCCAGAGAAGGTGGGACTTGGGGCAGGTCTTGAAAGTTGGAGAGGGCATGCAGATGTGGAAAGCAGGTGAGAGGAATATCATGAGTTAGGATCCCGTGCCACCAGCTGGGTTGTTAAATCCATGGCTCATTTATGCTTTGTGCTAGTGGTCTCCTTCTGTGCCCCCCAAACCAGAAAGAGGCTGGTGTCATGGGAGGATGTGGGCACAAGGCAATGAACCTTGGAACTGTGGCGTTCTATCTGTGACCTGCTTAAAAAAGTCATTCCAGCTCCTTGTATGATCATTCCTAGTCCATGCTCAACCGATATCAAGTCACTGGTATTTTGAGGCCTATGGAACTTCAGCCATCATAGGTGGCTGTGGGTTTTCCTGGTCTTGAGATGGGAGAACAGAGTTTGACAGATGGTGGCGAAGACTGTGAACTTCCTCTATTCAATTCTCTTCAAGAATAGATGGCAGCCAGTGAGCTGCCAGCTTTGCAAAATGAACCCCACTCTTCCTAGGTTACGATGCTGGGGGGAGAGTCAGGTACCACTGCTGCATATATAGCTTCTTTACCCCATCCCATTGCCACTCTTATATCATAGCACCATATTGGAACTTTTTGTTTCTGTTTTTATTCCCCATGGGAAGGTACATTTCCTTCTGAAGGAAGAGACATCTTTCTTGTTCAACTTTGTACCCACCATAGCACCTGATACACAGTATCACCTTTGGAATGTTTGTACACTAAATCCTAGAAGTACTAGGGATCCTTGTTATTAAAAGTAACCTTCTACAAAATCCTTTTGTAAATAGGAATATTACTTTTGGATAGTGACACCCTAATTTATATTATCAGGCCATAGGAGTTGAGGGAGAGCACAGAACCGAAATCTCTGATCAGAAGCCTATGTTTTCGATGATCTTATCTATTAAGATGGAGTTGACTATCCCCAACTCTGGCTGCTCATTTCTGTTTCAAATCTACCACATTTTCTGTGGTTGGCTTAACCATTTCCAGGATAGCCTATAAACACTGAGATAGTAAAAGTCAAGGCTGCAAAAATACTCAAGAGGTATGATGCAATCCAGCTAGGGGCTTGGTGAAAGTAAACCAAAATGAAACCAAAGCGAACTAATACAATATTAAGCCCATCAGGAGTGATGCTTTGCTTTACAGTAGGAGTTCCTTAAATAATACTTCAGAATACATTTAAATATTTGTGGTAGGAACTGTAGATTAATGATCTGAAAATACTCTCACAAGTTACAGGTGATCAACAAATATCACAGTCAAATGAACTATCAACTTTTGTATTGGGGAGGATTGGAAGAGGTAGAAAGATGGGGAAGGATGAAAAAAAAAAAAAGAATAAACATTGATGTATCTCCCAGGCAAATATATAAAACAAAGATTCAAGATTCAATTAAAAAAGTACTTGGCCACCCATCTATGTGGAATACATCTACTGTATAATGTGAAATACACAGGGTACAGCATTTGACTGTAGTGTAATTTTTTTCTGTAGTGCAGCAATTTGCCTTAGAAGATGATGCTACTAAAGGATTTTTTAAAAAATAATGATTTGACTTAATCCAACTACCATCATCAAATGCCTACTCTATGCTAGGCCTATACCAGGCACTTTGAGGGCTAAGGACATAAATAAGATGGAGGCTGTGGTCTCAAGGAACTCCTGGCCAGCGTGGAGATGATTTGAAAACAATCTAACTATAAGGTAGAAAGTGAAGAAAAATTGTATAGGGAAAGAGAGGAGCCAGTAGTAATGAAGAGGAAGAAAAAGAAAATGTGATTTGGTCTAATTAAACACTGACTGCCTAATTCCACATATAGAGCCAGAAGAATTTTTTTCCCTCCAAATTAGTGGAGCTTTATCTATGGAATACAAATTCACAACACAAGCTTTAATGGACTCAGGTCTTCTCCTGATCCCTTGGAGGGGGAAATGGAGGATCCCTGGGGAGTAAAGTTTCTTTGCTTTCTGGGAGGGAGAAAGGGGTGGGAGTTGAAATGTTCTGCCAGCCTGTGGGCCCCAGGGAAGTGGACTCCTTCCTTTCTGCCAGGAGAGGAACAGACATGTGCTGAACTAGTCTCGGTCAGCACAACAGCAGCAGATGGACTGAATGTACAAGCTGTCGTCTGTCACCACCTGGAGAGCCAGCCTTCCAACCATCTCTTTCATTGCACTGGGTAGGGTCAAGAGTCATTCCAGAGCTGAATTCCACAATGTATACATATATCAAAACATCAGGTTGGGAGGAGCAAGATGGCGATGGGTCTGGAGTGGGCGTGCCAGAGGACAGAGTGAGCCTGAGAAGTGTGTGCTGTGCTGCCAGAGTACTATTTGCATTTCCAAGAGTAACAAAAAACAAATAAATCACTGATCAACTAATCTACAATGAAAAAAAGCAACTACAGTCTCGAGGCTTTAGGGCCGATGCAAAAGAAGATTCCTGAGAGCGCCCCAACCGCGCTGGGAGACCGAGCAGCCCAAGGCAACAAAGGCCAGGAAAGACAGCAGCGGCGATGCAGAGACGGAGAGAAAGGCGCGGGACTGGCCCAGCTCTGGGAGCTTTGTGAGTGACCCCCAGCCCAGCCCCACTTGGGGGCAAAGGCCGGCCCGGCCCCCACTTACCACACCAGGCTAGGCACCTTCATCAGCGCTGCCTCCATCTTCTGGGGGGGGCGGAGTCGGCCGGCTCAGATCCGGCAAGCCAGCCATCTTCGCTTGGCACGGCTCCTCACTGAGCCATGCCACTTGTGTGCCTCAGAGCGGGGCCCCCCGGGGCCTGTGGACCAGCCACCAATCCCACTCCACCCGCGGATCTCTGGTGGGGCTGGTGGCGTGGGGAGCCCCCGGCCAGCGTCGGGAGGGCAGGGAAGAGGATCTCGGCCAGACTGTCACTCCACCACACCTGGGGCTTTGACCCCAGGTAAACTCCCTGCTTCCGGGAGGCAGATACCATCTCTGTGGCCTTCAGTTCGGAAAAACCCCAGACTGATTTCTGGTTGGGAGAGGGGTGACCGGGGTGCCCCTGAGCCCACTTGATCCTGCCAGAGAGTTGACGGCCTGAGGGTGCCGAGCCAGCTCATGCCGGGGGGATTCAAAGAGGAACTGTGTGCTGTGGGATCCGCCCCCGGGGGGCTCGCGCCCTGGTGTGGGAGATAACTCAACCACACAGGGGGCTGCAATACCGGGGGGAAGGTGGGGGGCCCAGAGAGGACCTTGACCAGGGCCGCAGGAATGCCCACAGTGTCTGTGGCAGAGGCCTGAGTACCCTTCAGGGCTGGGCGGGGCTGAGAGACGAGGATTGCAGAAGACACGCCCCAGCCCTGTACTGAGCGCACAGAGAGGGGAGGGGTCCGGCAAAGGAGGAGGAGTCTCGGAAAAAAAGACGCACCCTCCGGGAGGGCCCATCGTGTGCACACACACAGAGAGGGGAAACGCCCAGATAGCGAGGCGGAGACTTACAGATCACACACACCCTGTCGGGCTGGCAGGACAGGATCCAGCTGCCAGGGCCAGAACACAAGGAACAGGGAGAACTCCCAGAGCTGACCAGAGAAGAAA